TCGTAGTCGTTAATGGTGTAGAAGACGAAGTCCTGGTCGTGATTGAAGTCGTAGTGATCGGAGCCGAATTAAAAGTCGCAAAAATATAAACGTGGTATTTGTCATTGTTGTGGTCTCGAAGTTGTTAGGACGATCACAAGTTTAATCATCTAACAAAATGAGCTACTAGTACATTGTATATACGATAATATGCATCATCTTGGCCTTTACAGCTAACGGTAAGCTGCTTTCGGTGTAAGATGTATACAGCTGTAAATGTTATTTATTGTATTCACATCAAACATATTTATATATAAATGTACCTTACATTAAGGCCATCATTCTATGACACACATAATGAAATATAAAAATATAATTAATTGCAAATTGGAAAATAAGCAGAGCGATCATCTGTTATTGTTATCCTCTTTATATATTTCGCCAAGTACTTCATTCCTTATTTTAAGTTTACCCTTGGCATTAACAACAACATATTCTAAAATTCATTTTTATTGGTTAGATTTGTATGACCACAAAGTGCGGTCGTTTTTCTAATGTTAGAAATTGCGTATGTACTTGTGTAACGCACTTTGGGGTCAAAATTTGAACTCACTTTGGGTTGAGACCCCAAAGTGCGTTTGACCCCAAAGTGCTTTGTTACAGACCTTATTATCACAATATATTATAACAATATACAACAGTATTAGGAAAACGGGCATTTATTATAAAACCATGTACAAAAACGGCATTTTACAGGGACTGTGTTAGATATCTTACTCGGGAGTCCCTCTTCCTTTTTTCCTAAAGGTGTTACCAACGTCGTGACTTCTTGCGTCGTTTTCTCTGGTGTGTTTTGATTATCTGACGTCACTGGTGGCGTCGTTGCTTTGTCTGCTATTAGGGTAGATGGTGGCGTATATCCACTACATGTTGCACAGCAATCTGAGTAGAAACGTGAACAGGTCGTGTCCGAACGTTCGCAACCTGCTTTCCTGTCCCCGTACTTGCAATCTATACAGAACGAAAAGATATTTTGGCTCCTTTTGTAAATTCAGAAATTTTTACGAGGTCAAACTTCCGCGAACTCAATATTTCAGTGAGATTAGATGTTCTTAATTTGTTTGTTTTTTCAGCACGCCTCCAGATTCATCCAAATTTTCATGAAAATTTTGAAAATGTATTTAAAGGTAAAATATTGTGAAGTGAACAAAGACAGTACTTGGCACATTACAATAGGCACTTAAAATCCACGTAACTTACCAAAAAGAGGTCAAAATATGCATAAATAGCCCCTACTGCGTTAGTAACGCAGTAGAAATATCGTGATAAATACGACAAAATACAGTCATTAATTGCACTTAAGATATAAATTATCACTTGAATCTTTAATTTGATCACTTTTCTCAAGGTTTTAGTATGGTTTTTCCAAGTTTAATTTTCTTGAAATATTTTGGTTCATCTGGGGGCATGCAGCTTTAAATTCATACCATGGTACTTTAATACGTAGCTATATTGGTCTTAACATGCGAAATTAGCGAAATATTATCCCTCGCGGAAACATCTAATTTTACAGTTAATATATTGTTTTCAACAACTATTTTGATTAAGTGCTTTTGTGCTTATTTAACGTGTTCTTGGTAACCATTTATGTAGAAACATCTTCATACGTAATAGGGACTTTCTTAACGCTGTTTTTGCGTCTTCTTTCCTAATCCCAGTAATTGTAAAGTAATTTTGGTATCTTTCTCAACCCACGAATCCGTTGGTTCGATACCTGTGGTCAACACAGAGTGATTTAAAGGTTTAAGTTCCTTCCGTAGCCCGAGTTGGTTAAGTTGCCTTTACTTCAAATCAACTTGCCCTTTACCACTTTTTGGTTCAAAACCCCTGCCAAGGGATCCCATGATTCTTTAAATGTGAGGAAGATAACCAGCTAGCTTATGGGAAGTATGCGAAATAAAGCCACGAAATTTACGCCCGAAAAAACATCTTTCTTCACCACAGAAAGCTGGACAGTTTTCGCCATAATTTGGACTTTTCAAAATCGTATCGATGTTGGGAATTTAAACACTCAAACCCATCCAAAATAAGTTTGTAAAAAGTAAAGTGGGTTTTCCCGCCCGGTTAAAATTTACGTATGGGCTTGTTCAAAATCGTGGGATGTTTTGCCCGCATTGTGATTCGTGTATGGGTTTTTGTCGTAGCACTTTTTAAACAATTTTAAAGGGAATCGCCTTTTATCACCCTATTTGAAAAACCCAAAATTATTTACATGATAAGGAAAAAATGAAATAAAAAAAATAGAGTACACGAATTTTAAAATAACAACTAGTTTTAATATAACCCCTTTGCCCTGAAAAACTCTTTACATCAGGAATTTAAAACAAGGGCTGCAGGTTCAACCTTCTGTTAAAAGCCAGCTTTACTTAAGACCCGTAAAATTTTGGAACTAAAAAAAGGGTTTGTGTTTTTTATTTTTTTAAAAAAGGATTTAGCTTTTTTGACCCGTTTAAAACGGAACGCATTTTTCAATTTATAGCTTTTCGTTTTCTTCTTTAAAAAAAGGGCTTATCCAGTTTCGAATTTTAAAGATATTTTTTTTAAAAATTTTTTTCTGCAAAAAAAGAATATTTTTCTCATAGATGAGAAAAGTGTATCTTTAATTTGAAAAAAACCGATATTGTTTTTCCTTTTAAAAGAAACTAAATAATTTTTCCTTCTAGTTTGGTTTTTTTTCCAACCAAAAACCAAAAAAACCGTTGCGCAACCCCCAAAGGGGTGTTCTTTTAGTCCCCCTGATTAAAAATTTTTCCAAAATTTTTCTCCCCGCAAGAGGTTTTTTTGGCGCAAGATTTCGATTTCCCCCTGAAAGGAAAATTGCCCTTTCTTTGGGCTCCGTGTAAACACGATTCTGTGTTTAGAAATAGTAATGTACTTGTCAAAACTATTTATTTATTTATTTATTTATTTATTTATTTATTTATTTATTTATTTATTATTTAAATATTTATTTAGATATTTATTCATTTATTCATTTACTTATAATTGACATGTTGCTGATTTCTTTTCATACTTTAAAGGCTCATTTTGCCCAAGGAATGTTTTTTTTTTATATTTTCAAAATAAAAAACATAAATAAATAAATAAGATAAAATGATCATTGGCCAAATACCTAAACTGCCTTTTTTTCTCTTTTTGTTTTTGGACGAAATACAACTTTTTTTGCATTTTTCTACTTTGAAGGGCATTTTTTCACATTTGGCGCTTTGTCACTTCCGGTAACAATTGTATAACATGCTCTAAAGTCAATATTTAAACATTGTAAAATGCATGTTTGCTCTATCTTAAAACGTTAAATTCATTCTTTTGTGTGATATAATGTGCCTTTGATAACAACAAAGTCATAAACAAGAAAAATATTACATAATTGTATGTAATATAGGTCGATTGCAACTTTCTTTTTGTGAGGACTTTATGTTTGCTGAATTAAAGGTTATGTAATGTAAAATGAACAAAACATGTCATGAGAATTTTTATATCTTTAAATTATTTTCATGGAATGTAATTAATGTATCATCATATTAAAGTTGCATGCCTCAGAAAGAAAAAATTATTTCAAGGAATTCAAAATATTGAAAAAAATTTCACGGTCAATTGATGCTTTGAAGCATAATCCCAAAAATAAAATTGCAGGAAATTTAAAAAAACCTTTTTAATACAATTAAGGTAGAATTTCACTGTAAATCATGATATTCAGTTTCAAATAAAAAACAAACGCTTTTTTAGGCTTTCGACTTTTGTCTTCTTCAGAAAAAAATGACGTTTAAAACATAACAAATGACAACTTTTTTTATTTTAAATCATAGTCACAGATTTGAGATATGATTTATTTATTCATATTAACATCATTTATTGGGTTACATATAAAAAAACCGAAAGGACGGTTTTTGTAAAATATCTATTACAAAAAAATATAAAAAAGGTATTTTCCATCCTTAGACGCGGCCCGAGGTTAGCTATAATTAAAATTCTCCGCGCAAAGTCGCGGTGGGTGCTTTGGATAATCACTTGATACTGTAAATGGCAAGCCATTTTACGATACGAAAAATGCCTGCCTCTCGGACAGTTTATCCTTCCGAAAAGATATGAAAAAATACCTCAAAAATTCAAAGTTTTTTTTGCCACATAAAGATTATCGATTACTCTTTGCCACACTTTTTTCTGCCTGACTGTAATAATATGATTGTGTTTTTATTTGGCTTAAACAATCACGTTGTCAATACACATTTATAGAAAGGTAGTGAACGTAATTTCGTGTTCAATAAAAAATTATTCCGTTATAGACACTATAACAATCTTTTATTTCAAATGAATTGATAAAACAACAATCCCAGAGCATTTAAGATTTAAAACAATCATTTGAAAAAACATAAATGCTTTATAAATTGTATGAATTTTGTGTATGACAACTCACCCCCAAACAAAACATAATAGACTCAACCAAAACAAGCGTCTGCTTCTTTACCTAACTATGAAGTTGCATGGCCATGATTAGCAATAGCAAACCAAATCTAAGAGATAAACCTATTGTAAAAAAAAATACTTTGACCACAGCAGATTTCGTACAGAAAACGGCCAACAAATTTTGATACACAAGTACATGTAGCTATATGGAGTACGGTTTGTTTTGTCAAGCGGAGCGTTTTATTTGTTTGAATAATGAAAACAGCTTGACCATTAATTGCAGGAATAAAGATGTCAACGTACGCTAGATAAACAAGACAATTTCCTTTTCGTAGACAACACCATGTTAGCGAAATGCCAATAATCATTTAGGCTTAAATTCCGCTGGCAGTTTTTCCTATATTTAGAACATGATTGTCACGTGAGAGGATGCTATCGATGTTACGTCATTATTAGAGGGAAAACCCAAAATGGCGGTTCGTATATTACTCACAAGCCGGCGATCTATGTTAAATAGTAACTGATAAAGATTTTCTTAATTTTTGCCAGAAACATACCGTCTGCTTCGGGGGCCTCCACTGCCGCCACACATTTACCATTCCAGCACCACTGTTAAAACAATATTAAAAAGTACATAATGAGCCGCGCCATAGCAAAACCAACAGGGTTTGCGACCAGCATTTATCCAGATCAGCCTGCGCACCCGCGCAGTCCTGATCAGGATACATGCATGCTGTTCGCTATCAGTTTATCTACTTATTCTAGGGTTTGTAAGCGTACAGCAAGGATCCTGATCAGACTGCGCGGATGCGCAGGCTGGTCTGGTCCATGCTGGTCGCAAACCCATTATGTTGGTTTTGTCATGGCGCGGCTCATATAAAATCATCAAGATTTCATTTTTACTTTATACCATATTCCATTTTTATTTTGTTAAAACGTTATTTTGTTCTTTTTTAATCTCACAGCATACAAAATTTCTCAAAATTTTAAAAACATGCAAATCTAATTCATGATTTTTTTGTTCTGATAAAAACAAACAAACTTATTTTTGAAATTTTGTCATTACCGTAATTTTCCAAACGCATTCATAAATTGAATTTGCACTCCACGAAGACGTTTAATAAATACAATTCCATTAATTTGTGTCTGAATATAGGAAAAAGCATATTTGTTCGTGCATTACCGTCTGTACATTTACGGAACCGCATTTAAATGCATTTATTGTGCCCTCGGACTGGTTAAAACCGTCGGCTTTAAACTCGTCTACGTGCTTTTGCAGATGTTTATGCACAATTAATGCTTAAGAGAAAGGTGCATAAACTCTTTTTTATTGTTTAGATGTTCGCAGAAGCTTTGTTGCCTGGGATATACAATCTTCAGTTGGCAATTAAATCAAATGACTTCAAATTTAAAGGTAAAGATAACAATATAATGAGATAATAAGGCTCGTTTACTTTACATTTTTTTATTCCTTTCTTTGATATTTACATTTGCAATGGATAAAAACACCTTTGCAAGTGAAGTGATAAAAAAACAAATTGTTAAGAAAAAACAATATTATAATTGGCATTGAATATTTAAGGATGTTGCGCAATTTAATATAATTTCTTCTTGCACGCAGTAGACCATAAACGGAGACGACAAAGATGTAACATCACTGGAACACGTGTCGTCGTTGCACGATTTTGAATATGCGTGAATCAGGGCGTCATTTGAAAATAGCACACTGCAATTATTCCGCAAGTGCAGTATTTTTGTGCAAAAGCCCTTACACTTTTTTTAATAACTCGACCCAATCGGCTCGGGTTTTAAAAACGTCCTCGTGCATCAGTAGATAAACCACTTAAATATTATCCAAAAAAAACACTCTACTTGTATCGACAATCATCACTATGTTAAAGGAAGGCAACTGTCTTCTAATTTTATCAATCCTATTTTTTTCAATCGCAGTTACTTCCCAAGTAAGCCGATGGGGAAATCACTGTTTATCATTTGTTCAATGTAACCTGAATTCATTCTAAAATTATGTTATAATTGTAAAAAACTTAAAAGCCGTTCACAAATAAAAATACCGTGAGTAATATTCCATTTTTTCAATTTAAAATCCTATATCACAAAAAAAAATGAAAATCATAAAAAGAAAACTTCTTTTAAAGAAACTCTTACCTTTTTATTTCCACAAGTTGTACCATCTGCAGGTATAACATACGTTACTTTTGTTAATCCAAGTTGAGTGCATGCCATGGCCGTACATATCCTCTCCCATGCAGTAGAATGCCTTTGCTGGAGAAAATATAAATATATATTTATATAATGATATTCCCGAATATTTTTATTTAATGTGTGGCCAGTGTATGATTATAACTCCTTCTACGTAATAATGCTTGTAGAATATTTTTTTCATTTTATTTCGTTTTCATTTTTATACTTTTTTATGAATATATTTCTTATTTTTTTAACATGGATGCGAAACTTTTTTTTTTTGGGGGGGGGGGGGGGGGGGTGAATAAGATACAGTACACATTCTTGCATATCACACAGGATTATATGCTGTTTACTCCGGTGCCAGAAAATCCTATCTTACACCACCCTGTCCCTCCCTGTCCCCCATGTAAGATAAATCGTTTACTTAAACCACGCGCCCTTTTATGAATGAATTCCGTTCTTAAACTGATGTCATTTTACCGTTATGAATGAAGTTGTAAATGTATACGCTACTTTAAAAAAGAAAATCCTAAATGAAAATATTAGTTTATCAATATTTCTTTCCTAATAATGATTTTTATCTAAATGTTACTTAATTCATGTTTACCCTATTTAAAGAGGTAAAAATTAACCATTTCTGAGGCATAGTGTGCCTTTGATGATAATAGTTAATAACGTTATGAATTTTAGAAAAATCTCATTAATATTGTGAAGTGTATATTAAATGATTATAAAAGTATCAAAAGGCACTACATACTCGAAACATGACTGAGTCAGGGTCAAGCATTAACTGACACTGTTTGTCAGGTGGAAATAACTGACCAGGTGGACTTCCGGTCGGTTGAAGAACCGTTTCGGTGTCGTCTTCTTTCAAACAGTTACTTCCTGACCTAGATAAAAGACACGAAAAAAGTATATAGTGAGAGTATTAAAGCTGCATGCCTCCAGATGAGACAACTTATTTCAATTTCGAGAAAGTCAACATTGAGAAAAATGATTAAATATTTCAAGACAAAAATATTCCCAGTTCAAGAAATAATTTGCATTGAATCAATTTCCTTTTTTTTTTTTTTTCTCTCTCTTTTTTTTGCTTGGAAAAATTAATCAATAATCCAGATGACCACTGCAATTTTCTATAAACATTGCTCAAAATGTATTGGTAATGCCTAATTCATTTTTGTAGTGCATGTAGTTTTTTAATAGTATCATGCACATTTTTCATTTATAATTATTTGTAAACCGCAATAATGATATATATATATATTACTTATTGAACTCAACTTGACGGCGAAATAAATGAGCGTGATGTACTTTAATGCTGTAAAAAAAAATAATTTTTAAAGCTTTCAGATGTCAGCTTGTTTGAAGGCATTTGCGAAAATGGGAAAATTCGAGTTCGCCCCCCGAGTGATATAAAAATTGATTGAGGAAAGTATAAAACCCTATTTCCCGGCGTTTCATCACCGGCTTTTGTCGTGCAAACCCCTAAAAATTTACAAAAAAGGTTTTTTATTTTATCAAAAAATTTTACCGGTTCTTTTATAAAATACTTTCTTAAATTCTAGTTGCTTCTAAAAAATTAATAATTTATTGCACCCTTCACTTTAGAAAAAGTCGCCCTATGTGCGTTTTTACCTCTTGATAATAAAAACCCAAAATTAAAAGGGTTTTTTGGGGTTTAAAAATTTTTAAGGCTTTACAATTTTATATAACCAAAATATTTAAATTACCTATGGTTTATTTATTAACTTTGCCTTTCCCCCTGCTTTTTAGCATGTTTTTTGTCCTCTTGCCCCTTCCATTTTAACTTGTTAAAATTTTGTCGTTGTCGCGGGGCAAAAATGCACGTGTAATAAAAAAAAAAAAGGGGGGGGGCCAATCAGCCACCATTAATTATATATGTGTTCTGAGCTCATGTGATGCTTTTATCCAGTTTCTACAGCATAATTATTTATGGCTGAGCTTTTATCAAGCTTATACCACATATTATTATTAAATCAGAAGAACATCAACCAGGCTTATGTGTAGCTGTAAATACTAGTAGTTATATATCTATCGCCCATTAAAGCAAAAAAGGTACCAAGTGACATTTTCATGTTTTCGAGAAAATCGCGTTTAAAGATTTGAAGTTCCATATCAATCAGGTTTTTTAACATGCCAAGAAACTTCACATATATTTAGATTATATTTGAATGTACATGCTCAAAAAAGTTTGTAAAGCTTATATATTACTAATTAGTGTAATTAATCATTAAAGGAAAATGGTTCCGTTTTTGCACTAATAAATATTTTGACTGACAAATGCAAAAAGTACCATATGATCGCTTCGTTCCTTTTTGCATTCGTATGATTTTTAAAATTTGCTGTAAAATTATATCACAGATAAAGTTTTACCACATCGTCGGATACCCACAATTATAAAACATTGTTACGATAACATGCAATCAAACTGGGTAAAATTGAATCGATTTTGCGTCGATATACGGCAACCGGTGCGTTAAAGTATCTACCAATGCATCGCGTTTATGCAAATCTATATTCTTTCAACAGCGTAGTTAAAAAAACAATAAGAACAAAATGGCAGCGCCCACGGTTAAAAACTGTTACGTGTCTTGCTAAAATCAATGGCAAAGAGTATCGCCAAAATCATTTCTCCTGCAAACAATAATATGAAAAAGGCAAAAGCCCCAAAGCGAGCTCGATTACTTTTGAACGTGAAATAGTATGAAAATAATCGCTCATTTTTATTTAAAATCCAGTAACGAGTGCGTGTGACGTCACACGTACTGTGTTCAATATGGATCCGCCCCTGTCGTGAAATGAATAACGAGTTTTGAAAAAACGTTGATAAAACTTTGTTTTTTTTTATTCCACTCTATAATTTTTCAAGCGAAATAAAGATTATTTAAAGTGAAATAAATGTAAACTTAAAACGTTTGCGACATTAAAATAGCGTACTTGATTTGTTTGTTTTGCACGTGCTGTTTTGGCGCTACATTGTGACGTCACGTAAACAATACTTTAAAACGTCTGTACAGCGTTAACGACTGAATAAAAGATATGTTTGGTTCGGAATTCATTTTCTTAGTTAGACCCTTTTCTTTCATTTCTAGATAGTTTTCACAACAAAATTCGACAAAAATTGTTTTTATTTATCAGATTTCAAAACAAAATGGCGCCTTCGATTTTTTCATTTTTATACCACAGCTTCCGTTATTCTGGTTCCCTGTCCAATTATGGTTCTCATAGACGTGCGCGGGTGACCAAGTCTACGCATCCGTTTTCAGTCAGAATTCCTCAGTTTTTATCGTTATCTTTAAATTCGAAAGGTTGCGATGTGTCCAATTCGGTACTTTGGACGAAAGTTTTCAAAACCATCACTTAGCAGGTACTCGCGTTACCGTAAAGCTCGTCGAGCTCGCTATTAATCAGAAAGGAAAATATCACGCTGTAAAAGTAAATTATCAATACTCTCTTGCTGTAAATCGTTTAATTTATTCGATGTTGAACTATTCACGTCGTCTATGGTTGTCGCAATAGTGTCTGTAATACCGAACGTCATACAGAACGAGCGTTTTGATTGGTTTTAATCGCATCATGAAATCGTGAGGCAGCCAATGAAATAGCTGTCTTTTACACACCTCTAATCGACTGAATATCGGCTAAAAATCCCACGGCTGATAAATGTTTATGGTTCGGCCGTGGGTATCCGACGATACCATATGGCAGTTGGCACCTTTTTGTCCCAACAATATTAACAAAAAGCATCATTTGGTTACAGTTTTATTCTACAATGATGCAAATAAAAATATGTAATTCTTGTGTTTTCAGTAAATGTCTGATACAACAATCACACTGCATTGTTTTAAAGTCTTCCTCTGTGATCAATCTTAATGCCTATGTCAAAATCTCTTACATTGTTAGTCAAAATGAGAATTATTCTCATCAGATTCCATCGTGACATAACCCTTTTCTGTCCTGTATGGGATAATTTTCTTTGCACACAAAGTAACGAAGTCATTTTTCTTTTGAATAAAAACTTGCGGTTTTGTATCATAACTTCATATCTTGTTCACCATTTGTCCAGTGAAACTTTCTTTCTGTCTAGATTCTGTATTCTGAACTTCTATTTCCATAAAATCTTCAGCATTGAAGCTGTAATTTACAATTACTGACTTTGGGCTTTCCTTTGGTACCTGTATACATTTCACCTGTAGCCAGTTTACCCTTTGTCCGTCAATGGATGTTTTGAGTCCCAGACACTGATTCTAAATGAAGTATTTGAAATCAAAAACATGGTTATATTTCATTCGCATAGCAGTGTATGACTGTGATTTTCTGGCCAGTGATATAAGAGAACACAACTGAATGATACATAATTATACAGGAATTATTTTCTTTGCCCCTTCAAGAGTCAAGTTGTCACTCCATCTGTGAGTGACCCGATACAAGACCCGATGCAAGAAATTTGTGATGATCAATCTTAAACTTGGAACTTGTGATAATATAAAAGAAGAGACGTAGCTACGAATCTATTTCTGTTTTGTCCTCCGTATTAATCTGAAAAATATATGACTTTAACATTACCACTCTGGCAAGTAAAAAGGGTTTTTATCAAGCAGGAAGCTCTTCCACATGCCTCTCTTTGCAGTTGGTTTTATCCCATACATGACATACAACATTTTTGTCTCATAAGGAATATACTGTCAAGTTGTGTAGCAACAGAGTTTTCTTGAATAGTAAAGCTCACTCACTAATGAGATTGTTACAACGGCCCTTAGATCAAAACATGCAACATAAACGCATGTGTCACCTTTTGCTCCAACTTTATTTTTAACCTTTTCTTCTTGTGAATTTTCTTTCTGTTTTTGATGTTCAATATATTGCCAACTGCCTTCCTATACGTATGTTGCTTAACAGGTTTTATTTCCTTCTTTTCACATTCTATAGTTTACAGTTTCCACATCTTTTTAATGTTTAAGTCATAGTCATGAGATAGGTATTGTTTCTTTCAGTTTTTTTCTTGTATAATGAGATTTCATTTTAGGAAATTACTCTTTATGCTGTTTCACCAATTTAACTGCATCATAATCTAGTTTATTTGCAGATGTACGCTTCCATGTCATATTTAACCTTCCATATAACCCATGTATCTTGTTGGCAAGAGTATAGTCAATTACTTTTCTTTTTATGTCCACGTTTTTGTGAAGAAGTCATTTATACACTATCATTATCTTCACACTGTTATCATTCCTCAATTTAAAACATAAACAATACTCTGGGATATAAAGTTATATTTAATGTCCTTATCAACATCTAGATTGTGTATATTAAATTAAAGGCTAAAAGGTACCAAGCAAACAATTTAATATATAAAATAATCTTAAGGGTCGTCAATTCTTTGTGTGCAGAAAGGGACCACGTGACACATGGTTCCTATTTGCATCAAAATAAGTGCTCAAAACTTATATAGTCATTCAATGCAAAAAGGTACTATGTGACACTTGGTACCTTTTTGCTCAAACTGGTATACATATGGTACCTTTTTGCATTACTAAATGGGAAAATATTGACATTGTACCTTTTTACATAACCTTATATGTCTGTAAATAAACATGATACTACCTAGATATTTCTACAGATTAAAGATAACATTAAAACATAATGAAAAATGTTAAAAAGTCATTTTTGGCCAAAATGTCGCTTGGTACCTTGTTGCTTTAATGGGGCGTTATGTCCTATTTGTGCGAGTAGTACGTTCTTGTTACCACAATAATAAAATTAGTATTACCTGTGATTAAGCTCATGTGCAGCTTTTACCACGTGTACCACATAATTATAAACTCGGAATT